TCCGCCGCGAAATCCGCGAGAGATCAATGAAGAAGGAAGGGGTACCTTTTTTCACGACCGACAGATTATTTTGCCGAAATGGTCAAGTCCGATGAGCATATGGACAGGGTGAAAAAGAAATTATACGATGAAGCGGCGGCGAAGAAGGCAAGCGCAGAAGCTAAAAGACAGCGAGATCTTAAAAAGTTCGGAAAACAAGTCCAGATCGCCAAGTTACAGCAGAGACAGAAGGAGAAGAGGGAAACGCTGGATAAGATCAACAGTTTGAAGAGAAGTAAGCCCTACCATCTGTCCGATCAGTATTATTGAAATTTTATATCGCAAAAGTTGTCTGCCTAACATGTAACTTTCTTTGCAGAGCGCAAAGCGAGTGACGGCGCCCCGACCGAAGAACCAGATCTTTTCGATGTCGCCCTAGAAGATGCGGGCAAATCTCATTCTCATGGTGGAGCCAATAAAGGTAACCGTAATGAACCGCGCGCACAAAACAAGCGACAAAGAAAGGATCAGAAGTTTGGTTTCGGAGGCAAGAAACGATTCGCGAAGAGTGGAGACGCCGTTTCCAGTGGCGATCTAAGCGGATTTTCAGTAGGTAAAATGAAAGGACGCAAAAAGGGGACCGCGCAGAGACCAGGGAAGAGCAGGCGTGCAGCTTTAAAGAGGGCTTGAAAGTACGGGGTTTTAAGAAGTAGATATGAGCTTACTCCCTCTATCCTTGTGTTAGGCGCTGGATGGGTTTATATTTTTAACCTAAATTCTATAGAATTGAAGCTTTACAAAGAGTGTCACTAAATCATACCTCGTTGAAATGGATACGCAAAATGAACAATATATACATGTAAATATAAATATATATATATATATATATATATATTCATTGCCCATAAAATCAGGAGAAAGCCAAAGGTAAGGGTTTAAGAATCCCCATTTGCAGCGATGTCGCTCAACTTTGACAGCAATCATGGATCCCATCCACCATTAGAGTCATTGACAAGCCGTCTCCTTCCTCATCATTGTATATTGCAACTACTCAAATAAAACTGAAGCTTGTCATTTCCAGAATCACCCAGCTGCAATTCGATATTGCCTGATCAACTTCCTGCTTCAATTGCTGTGCAGGTTACGATACAACGGGTATTTTGAGGTGAAAACCACGACGTAACAATCCGGAACAATTATCGTATTGACTCCTTTCCAGGGACAAATTGTTGCCCCTGGACTGTGGGAGCGCGTACAATGGCTAGATTTATCACAGCATTTATGAAAGGCCAAAAAAATATATGAAGGAGGTTAGCTGATTAGCTGATAGAATTTGGAGTTACGGGGAATGGCACACCCTGAGAATGTAAGCCGTCTCCGTTCGCTGCGTTCGCATGAGGGATCGACGGGAACCTTTCACGAACGTCGATTTTAAGTTGCCTAGTTTGAGGCAATTTAAAACGTAATGAACACCCAGCAGGGACTTCCTCGACCGAGATAATGGGTATATGTTTTTGTCCAGCAGATAACTGTACTAATGCGGTTTCATAGCTTAATTTTTTTTGGAGAAGTTGGCCCGCGGAACTCCGGCTTATCAGATGTCCCCACTGATTCCTGGTGAGCACCAAAATCCCGAATGCGACTGACAAGATGGCTAACAGAGACGTTGATATTATGGCGTTGTTCCGCGAATACAAGGTTTAGCTTGGTTTGGGTGTCCTCAGCATGGACGAGTGAGTGGTCGAGAATGGCTTCTTTCGAGCGTTTCGAACTAGCTTTGTATATGGTTTTTCCGCATCCTTGGATGGAACAAATCCAAGTATCCGCAGGTAGTTCAACGTGGTCAAGGGGTTCTGTTGTCTGATTTACGTTTTCGCTGTTGTTGATGATTGCATTTGGTGTCATCAACCTCCCAAAGATCTCCTGCATCGGTGTTTTCCCCAGTGAAGTCACATCCGATCCTGAAACTATCGAGCGTGTGCTCTCATTTACTTTGGCAGACAATGGATCATGAACCAAGCGGTGTCCGCGGATCTTCGAGGGTGTACTATCTGGTGACGAAAGTTCCTCTATTTCCTCCTCTGAAATCTGTATTTCTTATCTTCGCTTGCCGATTGCGTTTCCCCGCCCCTTCGCTGAAACTGAACTCATTTTTGGGCGAAGCAGGGATTTTCGTACCCTTCGCCTTCGTCCTTTCGGAGCATGAGTTTCTTCATTATCTTCGCTTTCTTCGGCAGATGGAGACGAGGAGCCGTTCAACCTTCGTGGCCTAGAGTGTAGCGAGAGTGTCACTGATATCCCGCAAACTTCCTGAATTTTCTAGATCCTTTAATTGTCGATATATGGCTTTTTGAGACCAGTCAAAAGTCGCCGTTTGTGCGTCTTCCATCATCTCAATGAGAAATCCAGCTCTTGCACGGATCAAATCCAGAGCATATGTCAGAGAACTCATTTCATATCGTTTTAGAAGCGTTTCAGCAACAGTTGTCACATTAAGCCGACGTTTAGAGAGAAGGCCCGAGTCTTTCATATCCAAAACAACCTCGAAAATTGTATCAGCTTGGGCCCTTCCCACGGCCGAAGCATCGGGTGACACATCTGATTCTTCGTCTGATTCACTCTTCTCTTGGGCCTCGTCAGCAGCTGCCTCAGCCCGCTCGAATACATCCTTTGAAGTAAAGTTAGAATTCGGAGTTTATTTCATTGTGAAGCGGATTTCATCAACAGAGATCTTGTTACGAGCTACCATACCAGATACAGTTCACGTAGGTGAGCATAAATGGGAGTCGAAGCCCAATCCACATTCTCCTTACCCCGTACCATCTGGTTAATGAGGAACTCGTGGTGTTTGTAGAACACCTCCGCTGAGTCCTCCGCGTCCTCGCAGGTCCCATTGGTATGCTTGGTATACTATCGAGAGAAGGGTGGAAAGTAAGCCCCCATAACCCACAACGCTGTCATGGAAAAGATATTCGAAACGAACCTCATCAAAAAGATAGTCTACTTTTGGGTTCCATTTTTTACCCCGCTTCCGGCTCTTCTGGTGCTTATCCGCGAGAAAGTATAGAAGATCAATGGCTTCGACCATTTCGTTGAACATCGGTTTATATCCTCTGGCTGGCGAGATAGAAAACCAACCTGCCACGCCCGCAACCCACAAGCCGATCTCGCCATCGTCGTGCTGACCGTAGGCATAATGGGTGACATTATCAATGAGGACTCGTTTGTTTCGGTAGGAGTCATCGAGGACTGTTGGAGGGAGCAGAGTTAGAGAGTTAGGACAATGAAAAAGAAAATCAATGCTGGACATATTCTCCATACCAAGCTCTTCCTGCTCTTCCTCTACAATTTCCAATTGACCTGTGACACGAACAGGATTGTTTACCGAAGCAAACAAGACGTTTGCATATCGTGTCTTGCCTGGGACAAGAACCTTGACGTCGGTTAGGGCGAACTCTTCCCAGTCATTCTCATCTGTAAGGGAAGCGTCTCTAGCAGCGAGGACATTCTCGATTCGCGTTGTCATATCTCCAGAAACATCATGATGCCTTCAGATGGAGTTGTGAGTCGACGCGCATTACTTGAGGCAAGGCCTTGCTGGTTTTCGAAACGAATGTGGAGCTAAGACCTTCCCCAAACGGTCACCGTTCCGTATCTATGGAAAGTCGGAAAATCCATTATATCTCCACAATCAATATAAAACTAAGGAACGGTTGGTAATAATACAAATGGGAGGATACATAATGTATTATCAATCTTTCAGAAAATAAAAGTATCCTATATTAGATGAGATATTATGGGTATCGTTGGGAGAATTTTCTTACATCTTATTCATACACAAGCCAACAGAAATACACTAGTAATTTAAAAAAAAAGAGTCAATATTCATTTTCATCTTGCAGAATGCCTTGGGCTAGACATAATATTTAATTAATCTTTTTCTTATATGTAGTTATACATTATGTAGACGAATATAAATTATAACTTATACATTAAATAGATAAAGTTGTGATTGAGCTGTGTATATGTCGTTGGAAACGCCTTCGATCATTAAGGAAAATGGCGGACTATGTTACGGTACTTCGAATCTATCTCGGATAGATCATTAGATTTATATTCTCACAACGTCCACGGTTTTGTGGAGGATGAATAATTGTTCAAAATAATATTTACCACGAAACTTATTACCGTAACGCCAACCAAACATTCAGGATACTCCCCCTTCTGCTCTCTCTCTGCACCGCCTTTGCCAGAATTAAAACGTCCCTCCCTCATGACTTTCCGCTTCCGCTTCCGCACAAGAGATTTCCCAGTTAGAATGTCTGATAACCGAAATCTGGAAGGCGTTTTCGGTTCGTCGAACATGTTCTTAGCTGTTCAAACGAATTTTCTCAGACTAACGCCCCGTTCCTTCGAATGTAGCTGTTCATAAACCCCCGGGCATATCTTCCGCCGAAGTTCTCCGCAACCTACAACAACACTTCACCCCTTCTCAATTCTTCCGTCCATGGATCGAAACAGAGCGCATCCGGCGGGGTGCGGAGAGCAGATACCAAGCCCGCAGGCGGCGTGACAAGCGTCTAGAGGTTAAAATTGGGCACGGGGGAACCCTCGACCCCATGGCGACAGGCGTGCTAATCGCAGGTGTTGGCAGGGGCACAAAAGAACTGAATAACTTTTTAGCGTGCACCAAGTCATACGAGGCCGTGGTGCTATTTGGTGCTGCGACAGATACGTACGACAGTGTGGGGAAGGTAGTGAGTCGGGCCCCCTACGAACATATTACGCGCGACAAAGTGGAGAAGGCGCTGGAGAGCTTTAGAGGCAAGATCTTGCAGCGGCCGTCAATATTTTCGGCGCTGAGGGTGCAGGGAAAGAAGTTATATGAATATGCGCGAGAAGGAATTGAGCCTCCTGTGGAAATTTTGAAAAGGCCTATTGAAGTGACGAAGTTGGAGATCCTGGACTGGTATGAAGGTGGCACCCACGATTATGTCTGGCCGACGGAAGAGGCAAGCAGTATGGAGAAATTTGTTGCGAAGAAGATGCTGTCTAAAGACTCATCATCATCTGGACCTTCGACTGCGGATAGGACTACCTCCGCTCCTTCTACAACCGAAGAAGAGCAGCAGAATGCCACCGCACAGCCAGAGGAGGGGTCGCATGGTATTAAAAGAAAGCTATCTGCATCTCCAACACCAGAGGAAGAAAGGAAATTCTCTCCATCAACAAAACGCCCAAAGTCCCCTGTCGATAGCACCGCGGACGATTCTCTCACCAATGACACCTCCATCACCACTGATCCCATTATATCCAATGCTGTTTCCGCCACCTCTAAGCCAACCCCTCTACCCCCGGCTGTTAAGCTCTCCATGACCGTATCATCTGGCTTTTACGTCCGTTCCCTCGCCCACGACCTCGGCCTCGCGCTGGATAGCAATGCGATAATGTCATCTCTGGTGCGCACGCGCCAAGCCGATTTCACATTGGAACCGGAAAAAGTGCTGGAATATCGCGATTTGGAAGCTGGGGAAGAGGTGTGGGGTCCCAAATTACAAAGCTTTCTGGATGAGTGGATGGAGAAGAAAAAGAACGGGGCAGGTGGGAAGACGGATAAGGGAGTGAAGGAGGGTTCTAATAAGGAAGACGGGGAGAGGGAGGCGGTAGATAGGGCGGTGGGAGTTCAAAGTGATTGATTGGTTAGGTTTTCTGTGTTCTTTTATCACACTTGATACCCTAGTGTAAAAATATTAAGGGTTTTCTTTTCACCCTGTTCATATAGACATTCACATCTTAGAAATATAAAAATCATCACGTTTGTGAAACCTCAAATAATATCATACTCTCACACATTAGTGGTGTGAGATATTACCGGGGTGAAACGAAGCAAGGAGGCTAGATAGGGGAGGAATAGGGTGGGATGTATTGTTAGATTTTAAAGTGTGCGCCTGAGGAACTAGTGTGACAATAGCGAAGAAAGTCTTACAAATGGAAATGGAGATGGAGGAGAAATTCAAAATGGAAAGTTGAGAGGATATATCAATTCAAGGAGGAGATGTTGAAATATTGGAATACAGTCAAGACAGAAAAGAAAAGGTATCAAAGGGGACAGACAAGTGGTGTGACAATAAAATTGACGGATAGTAAAAAAAAAAAAAAAAAAAAAAAAAAAAAAAAAAAAAAAAAATTTGTTAAAACTGGAGGATAACCAAATAGTATCGGGAAGTAAAAGCGAAAACTGGCAAAAGGGTTCCAATGGAAAAAAAAAGTTAATACGGCGAAAAGGAAAACCTGACAGTCCTCCGAGGGAAGAAGAGGCTTAGAACTGGAGGATATAGCCGACGGAAGCAAGAAGGTACAAGAAAGGAAGACGGGGGTCTAGATAGAGAAGTAAAGAAAAGAGGAGAATGAAATATCAAAAGCGAATGGTTGATAACATGGGCAAATACGAAAAGAGGACAGCAATAAGAAGAAGAGGTAGTGGAGAAATGGTTTTGAGCGGATAGGGGATTGGGGGTATATATTCTGCAACATGCAACAATTAAGATGCAAAAGGAGGAAAAAGAGATGAATAGGAAAGGGAAAGGGAAAGTAGCATTGCTTCCACCACCACGATACAAAATTCCACTGTCGACGATATATATGAAAGGTGAAGTATCTTTTATTTGCCCGTACGAGAAAGAGATGCCTGTGCGAGCTACCCTCTCAGCGACCTTACCACTCAAAACATGGATCTTCTGGTCTTCCATTCAAGTTGCTTCCCATTAATGGCAATCAAGAACATGATGCTTCTTTTCTGGCCGATAGCCAGCCAATACTTTGTCAATCCAATACCGAGTCAAAAATATTCTGGCACAAGGTTGGCACTAGTTAGGCTCGTTTCTTGACGCACAAAATCGGTGTCAGGAAGTAAAGATGGAATCTAGCCGGGGGACGAAGCTCAAGATCTCGAGAATTGATAGTGTTGGTCGGCGCAATAAAAGAAGGTGACTAGATATTACGATTATTGGGGGGATCACCTAATTGGGCGGGGCAGACCAGGTGGTGTGATAGTTGTTGAAAGGTCAAATGAAGCCTCATAATATCGTAGAAATCATGAAATATGACACAGAAGAAAAGCGAGAGAAGAGAAGAAAGTAGATCTTTCCCTGGCTCTGTTCAGCAACCCAAATGAAAAAAGAATAAAATAGAGTATGAAAGAAAAGAAGTTGTAAAACGATCGGTCGAGTTTGGCATGTGGAGAAAGGCAGGGAAGAGGCGCCCTTACAAAGGAGATATATCGAAGGATGTTGATTCTATGTCTCTATGGAATATCGGTTGGGGAAACTGAGCGACAAAAGAATATGCAGGAGGCATGGGACAATCATCGCGATTACTGTTTAGGAAATAGCTGTTCGTAAGCCTGGTGGGCTTCCAAGAGGACTGAATAAATTTAATTTGTCAGTTTGCGAAAGTCAATTGAGAAATGAATGTTAAAAGTGTGAAACAATTTACCTTGAAGGATACTGTTTTGTCCCTGTCTTGACTCGCACGCACATTGCAAGGTACTACCATCCAGGAAGTCTAGCACGATGCTGTTTGGCAGTTCCTGTCTATCTTGATCCGGCAAGAATGGGGCCCGGAACTCCGAGAGATGATACCTCTTGACAATATTGCGAGGAGTCCCATCAATGGTACCAGGAGTTAGAATGAGATAGCCTTGGTCATCGATGCGCATGAATCTTCGTTTCCAGAGCAAGGTGTCTGGAAACTGAACATTGACCTCGCCGATATCAACTACCTGAGGAGGCTCAGGGGTACTACCTTCATCGGCCAGCGAAGGCAGCTGTGATTCCTCCTTCAAGGTCGGGCTTAACGCGTTTATTATACCCCGTCGAGAATTTGAGGTAATTGATGACATGCGTCGAATAATGCGCGATTTCCTAGACTGTTTTTTCTCCTCCTTTGTTTCATCGACTCGGTCAAGGGGGTTGTACGAGACGTCAGATGAAGCGTGTGGACTATTTGCCTCATGTCGAGACCGAGACGAGGCGGGCATCCCACCCGATATAGAATCGGAATGAAGTGCGCCCCGGCTGGTAGATAAGCGCCCTGATCCAGTGCTAGATGAAGTAGACAGGCTACGTTTCTCTGGCCGGGTGACAGTTGAAGTGGAAGGGCGACGAGGGGATCGGAGTGCATCGCTCTCAACAATAAGGGGGCTGCGCTGTAGATTGAGGACACCGAGTTCCGAGGGGTCAGCTGGAGGTTCATTGGGAGGTACGGTTGGATCTCGGATGATGCGGGCTGTCACTGAGACCGAATTTGATTTTCCTCGGGTTTGAGTATTAACTGATTGGTTGTCAGTCCGTTTCGGGGGATTGGGGGATAAAGCTCGGCTTTCTGAAGGCGAAGCTGATGTGTAGGATGGCGACTTGCTCAGGAGCACAGGAGCAGGAGGTAGGCTAGATTGGGATATCGAAGCCCGTTTGCGGAATTTTTCAAATGGGGATGACGACGTGCTTGTTGATGGAGGAGGCTGCGGCGCCAGGGGTGGTTGACCTTCGCGGCTAGAAAACATTTCTAAAGCCTTGATCCGTTTTGAGATTCCGGAAGAGACATTTACTTTTTTTGCGACAAGCACAGGGACAGCTTTTTGGCTTTCGAGGAAGGATCCGGAAGCAGATCTGCCAATGGGGAGTGCTTGCACATCTGATCCTGTACTTTTGGCATTAATTGGGCTGGAAACTACTCTTGAGTTCCTCCAATCCGCGGCCGCATCCAAATCTCCATTCTGAGCAAACATGGCAGTGCTTGGCGTTTTCGGAACTGCGATTGGCTTGGCTTCTTGAAATGTAGCGCTTCCCAATTCATCCATAAACGAGTCATCAGACAAGAGGTTATGGCTCGTCCAATTGATCGAACTGAGTTGTAATATGGATAGGAT